GGGCAAGGCCGGCGGGGCCGATGGGGCTGCCCCGCGGCAGCGCGAGGCCAGCGAAGAGGCAGCGCAGCGAGAGGAGGAGCAAGAGGACGATGGGGATGAGGACCTGCGAGACGGCGGGGTGCCCTTCTTCGTGAACCGGGGAGGGCTGCCGGTCAACGAGCCCACCTGGGAGAGGATGTGGCGGCACGTGGCCAAGATCCACCCCGAGGGGGATAAGGTGGCACAGAGGATTCGGGGAGCCACTGATCTACCCAAGGTGGGGGCGCCTGGAAGAAGTGAGCCGGCCGCGGGCAGAGCTGCCAGAGAGGGATGGCGGGAAGCTGGGATTCTGGGGGGGCGAAAAGATGGGATTCTGGGGATGGCGGGAAGCTGGGATTCGGGGGGGGGGGCATGGCCCCGAGGTAGAGCTTTACCTCCCGTTGGAAAGGCCACTAACAGCAGTGCCTAATGCTGGGATTCCCGCTGCAGAGTCAAGTCTCTATCCTGCTGTTAGGACTTGGCACTCTGTGGTTAAGTAGCGCTTCCCCTTCTACCTACTTTGATAGCATTTGCAGCAACACAAAAAGCTGCATGTGTGGTAGCTTTGGAGCAAATTGGGAAGATGTGGGATTGGAGCACCGAGCCCTGAACTGGAATTCATTTCTGAGGGGTCCTGCCCTGCATGAAGGGCGGGGAGGGGGGGTGTGGAAATGCCCCACTGCGCTCATAGGGGCTATGTAATAATGTTGGATGCTTGGCTGTTTAATTCATCATGGCAGGTGGTGTGCTGTCACGTGATATGACTTGTGGGGCAGATCAGGGGAAGGGAGCATGCACAGGTTGGAGGCCAAAAGAGATGTACAGCCCTTTACAGGTGTGAAATGAGAGAGGGGACAGTAAAATAACCAGGAACGAGCTTATGGCTACTGGGGACAGTTTTAAACTGGGGAATTCTGGCACTGGGGCAGTGTCTGCCCAGGAAGGCAGTTTTAAGGCTAGAGAGGTTTAAAAGCAGATTAGATCACACCTTATACGGTTTGAATGGAGGGAACTCTTGCTGTTAACAGGGCATCAAACTAGAGGTCCTTTGTGCACTTCTCGGGCCTTATGTCGGAGCATCCTTTGAAAAGGGAAACATAAGATGATATGACTTAACACAGCATCAAGGTTGAGGCCTTTATGAAAGTTGCCATTTAGCATGTGCATATTTTCTGGTACAAATTCTTTTCGGTATATTCAGATCCCCAGATGAAAAGTGCTTGGCAAAGACTCAGTAAGTCTCTTGAATTGTCCTGTGCAGGAGGCATATCTCTATCCATTTAAAAATGGAGGAAACCAAAGTACAAAAAGATGAGGTAATTTGCTCAGGCTCTCACAGCTAAGGCTTATCTATACAGGGAAACTAGTGTTAAATAAGCTTGGCAGTGACTCTTGTTTTTATTTTACAGTGCACTAGCCCTCCATACTTACTCCCCACATGGATGCTTCTTTTGGTTTTCACTAAGTGTCTTTTTGTGGTATAGTTTAATTCACTTCTCTTGCTGTGTCGGGTACAAACCTTGAGTTCTCATTTCTAGTCCTGTTTTCAGAGTCCCAACACTCTCCACCCTCCTCCCATCCCCCGCTCACTCTCAAGACTGAAACAGCTTGGGTGAGCGCTCAGGGTGCCTTTTTGATTAATCAAAACTTAATCATCATCTACCCAAAGGAAAAATGAATCATTTGGGTGAGGAAGGAAGGAGGGGGAGCTAGCAGGGGAGGGTCAGAAACCTAAAGTCATGCAGGGAGGAAAAATTGCTCTTTTCAGTCTCTTGCAGTCCATGCTCTTGAGGAACTCTTGCTGGTTCCCATTTCACTCTAACTGTCTTGCATAGCATCAGTGCCAAAGGCCTACAGTCAGTGGAAGCAACTGGCACAAGCTCCTCGAGCAACACCAAGTTGAAAGCTGTATCCATTTTGGTAGTTGCCAGCACCATTATGTACCAGCCTAGCTCATGTGCTTCATTCAGTGAGGCCAGCACAGAGTGTTGCTTGTTCTGGGCTGTTGCGTATTAGTAGAAGACTATCACTGGCTCAGGGAAATGGAGAGAAGAGTGTGGTGGGAAGCACTGAGGACAGATGAGCTAGGACAGGGGTCAGTAACATATAGACCATGGACTCGCTGGATCTGACCCATGGACCTAGAGAGCTTTGCCTGTGCCACTGCCCCATCTCTCCGTCCTCCCAGCTTGAGCAGTGAGGAGCTTTGTCTATGCCTCCACCAGGGCCAGGCACTGGGAACTGTGCACATGCCATTTCCCCCAGCCCATGGAGAGTTGCATGGAGTTGGGCATCTGCTAACCACATCTATGCTTCTACCACTTTCACCCTCCTCCCCTTCCCTGCCTCGCCTCCCTCTCCCCCGTGGTGGCATGGGCGGCTTCCAGCTGGTGGGGAGCTGTGCTGGAACTGGGAAGCAAGAAGCAATGGCAGCATGGACACAGTTTACAGATGCCTGGCCCCAGACCCAGAGTGGGGGAAGCCCTCCATTGCTGACACACCACCAAAGCCAACCAGCCCACATTAGACTGGAGTTGGGTTGTTCTGGCTCAGCTTGTAGAAAGTGTGCGGGCCGGGAGCGATCCGGGGCCCTTTTTTCGTGCCGCAGGCTGTGGCCAGCAGCCCGGACACGCTGGGTCAGAGAAAACAGGCGACACACTAGAATTAGGCACAGACACGTAATGGTTGATTCAAGATTGTTTACTTACACCGAAGATGGTCGCAGTGTAGGCTGGACAGTTTCCCAGGCACAGCTCCGCTCAAATCCTCATTTGAGGACTCAGACAACATTCGGATCACTCCCACGGAGTTGTCAAGGCTCCATGGATCCTTTTGCGCGCAGGGAGAGGGATACGTCGAGGATTGCAAATGGCGACGGGGAGAGGCTAGAGGCTGATCAGACCTCTGTTGCCTTCTTGAAATGCGCTGGGTCCGATAGGCTCCGCAGCGCTTAGAGATCTTCACATAGCATGAAGTCTCCTCCTCCTGGTGTTCGTAGAGTCCTCCAACTTGGGTAGAAACCACTCAAGCTTTTTATACGGCTAGCAAGCCAATCACTAGCCGCCACGTGTGAATAATTTAACGCAAGCCAATAATGGGGCTCGAATTAGAATGCAAATGGCAGGAACTCCTTGCAACGTGCATTTCTTCTCTACAGCTAAGAAATGCACCCTGCAAAGAAAGCTACAAACGGCGGGAAAATAATTCAGTGGTGCCAAAGCACACACACAAACAAAAATCACACCTTTGGGTTGTGACAGAAAGTTGGCGGCCTTTGAGTAAGGGCGGTGGGCTCTTGAATTTCTGGCCCTGTGGGGCAGATAAACACCCTGGATCTGGGCCATGGGCCAGATCCCATGGGTAGGTCCAGTCCATGGATCAGATTCAGTGTGCAATAAGCATGTGAAGTCAGTCTGCAGGTGCAGTTTATTATGCCCCCACACACTGGGTCTGGTCATGATGTGACCCCTACACTCTGGATCTGGCCCTATGCATCAGATTTGGCTGCATGTGCCAGTAGTTAATACTGCTAGTGTTCTCTCATTGCCAAATTTCCAGAGCACCAGTGAGCTAAGGAAAGAGAAGAACCCCTCCTTGCTTGCAGTAATGAACCTGTTTCTGATCAGTATTTACCTTGTCAAACCCATCTGTGTGAGAAGTTCTGATGCATCAAGCTTCAGAGAAGTAGAATTGGAGCATATAACCATATTCTACATGACAGGCTCCCCTAAGAAGCTGTTGTCATTCAAATGCTGGAAGCCAAGTGGGTCACATTAGAGATGTAGGAAATACCCTAACTAGTGTCTAATACAAGGTCTTGTGCCTGAGCTCATGGTTGATATCAGAGGCTTAGGAGTCAAATGGTAGAGAACAGTACTCTTCCAAGGCCCGCCCTCCCTCCCTCCCTCATAAAATAAACTCCACCGCCTGAATTAATTGTAGTGAGGTGCATTTGTGGTAGGATGTGTCTATGGGTGGATCTAGAATTTTGAAAAGGGAAGTTCAGATAGTGAAGTGCATCAGTACATATAGAACAACACGTATTTTTCTCCAATTAAAAATAAACTAGAAGCTTTACTAATATGCTAGGGGCCTAGGGCTGTGTTATTCAGTTTAAGACTGAAACAACAACAAATATAATTTCATTGGAATGAGTTAAAAACAATCTTCAGGGCTGTAAAATAGAAGCTTCATTACCAGGAGCAGCTATCACTCAGACAGCAGAATTGCAGAAGGAATAGCTTAATTGGTGCAACATAAAGACCAATACAAAGAAGAGTGGATCATTAACCCTGGGGAGTGAAGAGTTTAGAAGGGATCAGAATGAGACAAGACATCAATTGACTGCCTGGCTAGAAACCAGGAAGTTGGTTTTAAACTTTGAGTGGAGCAAGAGTCAAAGGGAGAGTTAGGGGGAGGTTTAAGTGCACCAGTGCAACCCCCTCCCCCAAATCCGCCCCCTGGATATGTCAGCTACTCTGCTGAGCTGTCTATTCAGCTGTGGCATTCAGCAGTACCTATGGGTTTCACTGGGCTCCTTGGTTTCCCCATAGTCTTGGATGCCTGCTGAGCTCTGCTAGGTTCATGAAGCTTTGTCCTGTGATTGGGGGAGAGGAAAATACATTGTCATACTCTCGAGTGCTACTGTCAGATAATGCCAAAAAGAGCTGCCATTTGTCAGCGCTGTAGAGCTTTCTCCTATTCTATGGGATTTGATTAATAGTGACATAGCTAAGCATTGACACCTAAGCAACCGTGATTGGGTACCTGAGTTAGCATGTTTCTAAGATGAGTGGGGTTGGTTTTCCCCGCCTCTGTCTGCTATTGTTGCAGGCTCTCATCAGGCTCAATCAAGGCATCTCACAATTGGTTACATTGAAAATAAATCTCTCTTTGTATGGGAACCATAGTAGGGAGAGATTTTAGTCTTTAATTGGTAATGATAGATGTTTTCAGCTGTTTAACTATCTCTTCCTCTTTGAAGTCTGCTGATCATAGAAAAGCAGGGTTGGAAGGAACCTCAGGAGGCCACCTTGTTTACCCCCTCCTCCCCTACTCCAGGCAGGATCATCCCTATTTAAGACTATACAAGTGTTTCTTTAACCAACGAGTTCATGTTAAGTTCATGTAAACATGACAGAGGGAGGCTGTTTGACTGTTAACTGGCACCATCTTCCACTGCCTGTTCAGAGGGCATACCAGCTCTCTTCCCAATGGTCCTAAGTGACTACATATCTCCAGGGCTGTCCACTTCCAGGTATAGTTTAGCATTATCCACAGAATACCCAGACACTTGCTTTGTGTTGCTGTTTCACTGAACTGTGCAAGACTGTTGAGTGTCACCTGTATGAAAAGGCCCTTTTCAGTCCCAGCAGGAGGTGGCCCCTGGTAGAGAGATAGCATGGGCTGCCTGAAGGAATTTTTTTTTTCTTCTGACATAGCTGCATCACAAAGTTAAGCCAGCAAAAGCATGGTCAGTTTAGGTGCAGCCATACCAGGGATTTTGTTGGCAAAGCCATGGCAACCAAAGGGCATCATCTTTGCCCAGTGCTGGCTGGAAGAATTTTATAATGTGGACCTGGCTGTCAATGACAAGCTGAAACACACTTAAAATATACCCTTTTTTCCCTCTTCTGCTTGTGTATGTGATGGCAAACTGGCAAGGCATTTTTGTGATATGGCCTCCTCCAAATGTAGAAGCACGGCTCCTTTAGCTGGGGCAAGACAATGGCATTTTACAGCAAATCAAATTAAAGTCCAAGCACTTGCTTGCACTTTGATTTGTGAGGAAGCTTATAGTCTTGGCTACACTGAACTTTGCAATGTGGGATTTGCTGCCCCCTTTGTGGCCTTGTTGGTTCCTCTGTGTTGTTTTTCTTACTGCAGGCTGTGTTGGGAGCATAAGAGGTGCTACAATTCCATTCCCTGGGGAGTCTGTTGTTCATCCTGTTGGGCTGGTGCTGCAAAGTAATAATAACTATAGCTTTTCATTGTTAGATATCAAGGAGAAGTATTTTTCCCCTATACTTTATGCCTGAGGGAAATGAGGAGGCACAAAGAGCTGAAGTGACTTGCCCATGGTGTGGGAAACAGATTGGTGGCAGAGCAAAAAAAAAGAGATGCCAGATCTAGTATACTTGCCACTAAGCAATGCTGTCTTTTAGCATATCCTTCCCAGGTGATTTCACTTGGTAAGACAGCAGTAACTGCCTGACTGTAGCTCTTCCACACACAGACAGGCATTGGTACCACTCCACTCTGCTGATCTTCTCTCCCTGGGATAGAGCTGAAAGTGACCATTGTACTTTTCAGCTGCTGCTGACCTTTCTGGTTTTGATGGAAAAAGTTGTACAGTATCTCTGCAGAGCTGACAGCCATGTAAGCTACATGGGTGTGTGTAGTGCTCTACAAATGCACAGGCAGATGCGCTCCCTGCCTTAAGGGAAAGGGAAGTTCCATTTTCTAAATAGAAGAGTTACAGGATGCAAGGGTAGAAGTAAGCAGGCTGGTAGCTGAGCAGTGAAGGGACTGGCGGGGGGGAACCCAGAGAAGCAGCTGGTGCATAATAGGCCGTGCAGTGTGTTCTTGGGTTTGAGTTGTGGCTTGGTTAAACTACAGCTGCCAACTTAACTTCAGGGCTGTGTTGATAGCAAGAGTGTCTCTTGAGGGGCTAGGTGCTTGGACACTAGGATTATCTACAGAGAACATATACAGGAGTACATACAGAGAAACAGCTGTTAAGCTTACTACCAAAAACCACCTCCCCGATATTCCTAAGGGAGGAGATGCGGCTGTGTCTCTTCCATCTGTCTTGGTTCATATTCTGCTTAGTTCAATTTAAGCATAAAACCTCAGCCTTTCTCCAGGCCCCTTCCCAAAAGCCAAGTTGCAGTCCCATCTGTGCAGCCAGTCTGTCTGGCAAGAGTTCAGTGCAATAGCTCACTGTGTACAAGTCTGGGAACTCTGATGTAACCCAGCCATCAAATAAGGAGAGACCAAAAATGTAAGAAGCTGCCTGCCTCGTTGGGGACTGTGCTGCATGCAGTAACTGGAGCATTGAGCCCCAGGAAACAGGGCTCTTCATGGCTGTCTCTGATTTGCTGGTAATTCACCACTGATCTGTCCTTCCTCTGTTAAAAGCTAGATGTAATGTCTTAAGGATAGTGAAGATTGATTAAAGTTTATATGTTTTTGGCATCCTCAAATGGATGAGACTAGAAGAAGGGCTAAGCACTAATACTGCTTGGTCAACACAGGGATGAAAGAGGGACTCTTTTTCTTTCTTTCTCTCATCTCCCTTTCTGCAAGGCAAAATTCTGAAGACCTGATGCAAAGGGAAGTATAGCCCACACCGGGCTGCAGGGCCATATCTGAATGCAAGTGTGTGGTGTATTTGCATCAGTTTAATTCCTTAAGGTGCAGAAAGTTATTTTCTGTTAACTAGTCCCCTGCAGAGGTGGTTTCCATTACACAGTGTCTCAGGTCATTACATATTCCCCAGAGGGAAAGAGGATCTGAAAGAGGAGCAATGTCTTCCAGCAGAGAGAAGAGTAACTGAGAGGAACCAGCAATATGTGATGTTAATATGCATCTAACCAAAATGCAACTTTAGCCCCAGGAGTTAATTTTAGCTGCTTTTCTTCATTCAAATGCAGCACAGAAGTCAAGCACTGGAAAAAAAAAATTAAACCAAGCTGAACACTGAGCCTGCCCTGGCTGTTACCTCCTTCATTGTTTTTGCCTGGAATGATTTTCTGAGACTGTCAACTCATCACTTCCAAACCAATTTAGTTTGCATTCATTCCAGAGACAGCAACTTTCCCAGCACTATTCAGTGGAGTGTTTCCAGTTCCAGCTGGGACAGAAGTGCAAGCTGTTGGCTATCTCATTGATTCTGCTGTAGGGAGGCTGCAAGAGGAGCAGCTGGTGCCACCTGCTGCTCTCTGCAGGAAGGTGAAGTAAGGTGTATGCTCCTAAAGGGCACCGGAGGCAGTTGGTGGTGCTTATTAGTTTTCCTGCCTCTTTGGATCTTGCCTCCAGGAGCTTTTGGGAAATGGGCCCCTGGAGCATCATAGCATCTTTATTAAAAGAACTTCCTGGATAAATTTTAGGACTGTAAAGATGAAAATGCTCAAGAGATGGTAACAGCTACTGGTGCATGGAGCTTGGCCACAGCAGAGCAGGGGGAGTCTTTCCTAAGAGGCCGATATCTTACTAAATGATTAACATACTACTTGGTGGAAAGGCCAGATGGTGGATGTCCCTTTTCCCAAGGGGAAGGGTAGGGACCAAGCACATTCTTTCTCTTTTCAAGAAGAACTTAATGGCTAAAATCTAATTTGCTGTGGAGTGGGGTTGGTGTTAGATCAGAGTGCAGGTGTTAACTTTTGTTAGCTTCTACTTCCTGTCATAGTTGTACCAAATCTGTCTAGCCAAGTCTTCCACTGAGCAAGCGTCTCCCAGGGGCTTTTTGCCAACCCAATTCCCCCTTCTGCTTTGGCTAGGCAGACAGGACCCTTCTTGCTTAGGCTCTTGCTTTAAGCAATGACAAAACATCAGATATCTCTTTCAAAATAAAGAGAAAAGAGGGTTGGAAGCCAAGGCCTAAGACTGAAGAATAGGGGCAAGGGTCTATCTGGGTGGTGTGTTTGCAAGCATCATTCATCATTGCATAACTTAAAATTGGAGAAGGTAGAGATTGGGGGCAGAGGGAGGGGAGGAGCTCATGTATTATCCAGTCCATCTCCCTGCCAAGACTGGTTCATTCTCAGCATGTTCTTCATGTTCAAGATGCCAGCTGACAGGGCTTCCATCCTTGCTTTTGGGAATTGGTTCCAAGTGCCAGCTGCTGCCTACGTTGATTAATTCTTCCTGAGACTTTTCCTCTTATTTCACCTCATGCCTTGCATCCTGCACTCCTCATGCCCCCCTGCACAGCCAGTAGAGATATTGATAAATGAATGCACCCTGCTTTAGTTGTCACTTAGCTAATCTCTTCCTGGTTTAAGAAAAGACCTCCTGCCTTCTGTGATGATTTTTGCTGTTGGTGGTGGGTTTTCTCCGCATTCCCTCCAATTCCTTAGCATGAAAATAGACGTCTGAGGTGACTGTGTGCACAAGAAGTCTCCCAAGTAGACAGGAAAAGGTTACTGGTTTACTGAGAAGACATTCCTATAAGAAAGTGCTAGCATGGGGAGCTCTGCTCTGTGACTCACTGTGTTTTCACCCTCTGTTCAGATTCCCATACCGAGTGTGCCTGCGTTCCAGCTGTCCACCCCCATCCCTGAGCGCCTGGAAGCCATACAGCGCTACATCAGGGAGCTTCAGTATCCTTTTCTGTTATCATGGGTGCCAAGGAATGCTGATTCAGGAAGAGGCACCCAACCACAACTAAGAAGGGGACATGAAACTTGCTCCCTAAGAGCAGGAAATGGAAATTGGTTAGTTTGCTGCTTCATTCCCTTTCTGCCCACTTGAGTGTCCTTTGATTAATCCTTTTTTCACATGGCACAGGCATGAGCCGGGTCAAGCTAACATTGCAGGGTCTTCCTCCTTCAGCCAGTTGCAATGGATTGAAGAGGCTGTTCCTTCTAAAATGTGCATGTTCAAAGACCTTGCTGCTGTACCCACCCAGCTCTTCCAGGAGAACCTGGGGCAGACTGCAAGGTGATTTAGTCCTCTGCCAAACTTCGGTGAGCTAGCACATGAAGAGAACTTGGGCTGTGTGCTGAGACACCTTACTGGGTCTCTCTGAAGTGGCCAGAACAAGATGGTCCTGGCCCTGCAAACCCATACATATGTAGCTGCTGGTATGCTTATGACCTGGGAATGAGACTCCTCTGTACACTCTAGTCCTGAGTGCTGGTACAGGGTAAGTGCAAAGGGCATGTGCCATACAAGTACAATTTTATCTTGCTGGTGGGATGTGGAACTGTTTCTGGTTTCAGCCCTGAAGCAAAGTGAGAGAGGAATTTGTCAGTATCTCTTGTGCAAATCCTGGGGCTGTTTTGCTATTGAGATGGGTCCCATTCAGCATGAGAGCCAAAGTACTTCTGGCATTCCTAGGCTCTGTGTGTTCCTTTGCAAGCAACATCTTGTAGAAGAGGCTGACCAAAAAATGTGGGGCTTAGGGAGGGAAACAAATTGGATTAGAGAAGGGGGCTAATAGAAATAAAACTGCGGTACAAATTAGAGAATGAAAATGGGAAGATCATGAGAGAGGGGCCTGTTTAGCCTTTCTTTGCTGGTATCATGCTTGTTAGATCGTGACCTGGCTGTAAGAACTCTTACTGACATGCTGGTGGCATAATGAGAACCTCCAGACAGTAATTGTAGTATCTGGGCTTTTTGGCTCTTCCATATTGCATGGCCTTAATTTTTGCCTCAGGTACAATCACACTGGGACACAATTCTTTGAAATTAAGAAGAGCAGACCTCTGACTGGGTAAGTTCTGACAGGCTCTTGCTTCCTTCTGCCTGTGTTCTGAGAACTTGCTGTTTCTTTTACTTGCTCCCCTTTCCCCACTCACCTGACTTAGTCTGATCCAGTGTCCAGCTTGAATCTGGGTGCCTCAGTGCTGCAGCTGTCCTTCCTGAGGTGATATAGTACCAGAGCTAGACTCTGCTCAGGATGCAAATGGGCAGAGCCATAAGTTGTCCTTTCTCAAGCACAAAGGCTGGATGTGTTGCCAAGGGTCAGCACACTTGCTTAAAAGAAAAGGTAAACATTTGCTGAATCTGCTCAACTTTTGCAAGCCTCCAATTTGGAAGATAAATTTATGGGCTTCTATGGACTTGTGTAAAGCAAAACAAAGTCTTGCCCTAAATAAGCTGTCCAAAGGTCAGCTCTAACTTTACAGCATCTGCGAGTGTCTTTTGATACAAAATCTGGATTGTCTGGACTCTTCCAGGAGTCTAACACTTTGAAAGTAAACAATTTGTGGGAAGGCAGGAAGAGAGAGACATCCCCAAGTACAGACTCTGTTTGGAAAAGGTCTGTGTTTAGTAAACTCCCAAGGAGACAGCACAACATCCATTGTCTTGCACCTGGTTCTACTGACTGAGTCAGGAGCTTCCTAATCTGCTACCCAAAACCTGGTCTTCCAGGTTTGCTGCAGACCCCACCCACTCCTTAGGTGGTTGTCCAGGTGGCTAAAATGTCTTGGAATGTAACCTGCGTGAAATCTCCTCTGCAGCATGGGGCCAGCCCAGGGAGACCAGGATTGAGTGGTACTTCTGTTCACTCCTTTCCTGCCCTCAGGCCTAGGATGTCAAGTGCCCCTGGCATTTGGTATCCTGACCTGAGGCGTCTCATCTTGATCATGTGAGTGTGAATTCCAAGGAATTCACTGAGATTCATAAGAGTGGCTCCAGACTTGCAGAACTCTAGGCCAGATTCTGCTGGCCCAGAAGGTGCATTCTTCTTGGCTCATCGCAGGAGAAACCACAGCAGCAGTGATGAGGTGGGATGAGAAATGACAAGAGGCTGACCTTGACTCTAGTTTATTTTCTGAGGGTTTTCTCCTTCAACCTTTGTCTTTGGAGGGTTCCCTTCCTCCTCCATCCCTGCAGCCCACTTTACATATACACCAACAGGACTGAGTTTGACGGTTCTGCCTAGCACAAACCCTCTAACCCTCCTCCTGTCTTCCCATCCTTATTCTGTCTTGCAGGCTGATGGACCTGGCTAAAGAAATGACCAAAGAGGCCCTGCCAATCAAATGCCTGGAAGCTGTGATCCTGGGAATGTATCCTTTCCTCCTAAATGTGCACGTCTGTTTACCCTAATGTTTTTGCCTCTGTTCCCTCAGGACGCTTTCGTGCTACTGGTGTATTGCAAAGGGCCAAGCAGAGTACTAGGAGTAGGATCAGTTCTTAAGGATTGAACCTCCCTGCTTCTGTAGGATTGTCTCTTAGTCCTTCTGGACCTAGCGTGCAATAGGGATGCAGCACACGTTCCTCATTGTTTTAAATGCTCTAAATGCTCTCTGCAGTGCAGGGAGATACAGAAGGAACCTGGCCAGCTCCATCGAGATATGTCTTTAGCTCAGTAGCTCCTGCCCCAGCTGCAGGCTTAGGCAAATGCTCTTTTTAAATTCTGGCCTTCTGCTGCTTAAGATTTGCATGCATAGAGGGGATGACACCTTTTCTTGGAACTTGCCAGGCTGAGTGAGGGTGGGGCCACTTCCTCTGAAATTCTGGAGGTTGCTTCAGTGATGGGAAAACATTTGAAACCCATGTCAATTGGCTGTGGGTTCTGGAGGATTTGGCAGTTATCAAATGCAGTGGTTTCCCTTTTATGAAAAGCCAGTCTGCTGGTATCAGTGCTCAGGAGAATGGGCTATACAGAGTCCTTTCCCTCTACAGCTCTTTTGGTTTCTTTGTTAAATGAGTTGATAGGTTTTCTTCCAGCTCCTAGCAGAACAGGGTTATACTTTGCCAAACTGCCCTTGTAATTGGCTTCCTGCATTGGCAGTATTGTTAGAGTGGCCAGGTTCCTGAATGGAAGCTGAGCTCTCCCTGACCCAGGGCAGGGTATAGTAGTCTCAAAATAGGCTGGACTTGCACTTTCTCTGAGCTTGTCTCTTGGGGTGTCAGTCTACATTTTGTTGGCAACAGCAACTTGCCCAGGTTGCCTGGAAGGTTTTGTGGGGGTGGGAAGAACCTTACCTCCATTTTCTTGGCATCACCAGTTATTTCCTGAATGAGTCCATTTTGCCAGTTACCTCACCAACAACATGACCACACTGGAGCGTTTCCCCATCAGCTTCAAAACTCACTTCTCAGGGAACTACTTTCGTCACATCGTGCTGGGGGTGAACTTTGGGGGTCGCTATGGGGCACTGGGCATCAGCCGGCGCGAGGAACTCATGTACAAGACACCCACCTTCCGCACATTGAGTGAGCTGGTCTTCGATTTTGAGGAGGCGTATCGCCGCTGCTGGCACACCCTCAAAAAGGTGAAACTGGGCCAGTATGTGTCTCATGACCCACACAGTGTGGAGCAGATTGAGTGGAAGCATTCCATCTTGGATGTGGAGAAGCTGGGCCGTGAGGACTTCCGCAAAGAACTAGAGAGACATGCACGTGACATGAGGCTGAAGGTAAGTCAGGATGTAGTGACTGGTGAGTTCTGTCTGCTTCCCTTGGAAGCTGCAGGTGCAAATTCCAACCTTGGTGTCCAAGTCTAGGTGAGTTTGTTCTGTTGCGCTTGACGGTTTGATGCATTACTCTGCTGGGGGTGTATACAAATCCTGCTGGATATGTGGCAGGAAGGGAAAGGGGATTAGGAATAGAATCCTTGCCCCCTCTGCAGACACTTTGTTCCTAATGGGGATGCAGACCACTCAGAGCTTTCAACCTTGTATAACAGGTGAGCCTTGGAGTTTTTGTGCAGCTGAAGCCAAGCTATTTACTTGCTTGGAAATCTTGGAGGGAGGGGTGCATTTGAGACTGCCCAAACTGGGTACTACACATGAGAATGTACAATACCCCACCCCCTCCCCCACCAATGCATTCTCTTTCCTTGCCTGTAACTGTTATTTGTATTAATGTCTCCTGATCTAAGGCAATGAAGTCTTTCTGGGTCTTGGTTCCTAGCTGCTTCTGGTACTTACTTCCCTCCCATATTGCCTTTTTTCAAATTCTCCTACAGATCAGCAAAGGGGCAGGACCACCATCTCCCACAAAGGACAGGAAGAAAGATGTGTCCTCCCCACAACGGGGCCAGTCCAGTCCACATCGCCGCAACAGCCGTGGGGAGAGACGGTAAGCAGGGCTTGATAGTGGGTGGCTTCTTTTCAGGACTTTTCTCTGACTTGCTGAGGGACGTCCCATACTTTTGGATAAAGCAAACGTCTGTGAACTCTTGTTGTTATTCTCTCTACCTGGGAAGGTATCTCTTGGTTTGTTCTTTTTTGCTCTGTCACTGGTTTTTGTTTTTTTTTCCTATTCCCTGAGGCACTGGTCTTGTGACATGTATAGTTGCCTTCTTACTTTAAAACTAGCTGGAGTTAAGGCTGACTGATCTGTACCTGCAGAGGTCATGTTAATCTAGTGCTTGATATGGAACGTCACAGATTTCTCCAAAAGAGACCTAAAACTACACCACTGGCCAGCGAGACCTGGCATGCCAGGGCTGGGGGCCAGTGTCCTTGGAAAAATAGGTCTGGGGACAGGCCCAAAAGCCAAAAGTATTTGGGGTGTGGGTGTTGGCCTCCTATGCCCTTGAGAGATGTTGAGGAGTTACTGGAGGGTGAAGAATAACCACTGTTGCTGTTGTGGTATCCAGGGAAGAGGCTGAAGTTGGGCTGCCTGCTGTTTGCTCAATCTGTGAAAGTTCCTTTGCCAAAGACCCCTGAGTAGTTATTGCCTTATCTATTCACAGGCCATCTGGTGAGAAGAAGCCTGCTGATTCCAAAGCAATGCCAGACCTCAATGGGTACCAAATCCGGGTGTGAAGTGTGCCATGCCTTCCATGCCTGGCTTCACAGACTACTCACTGGCCACACTCAGGACCTGGAGCAGCCCACAGCAAGCTCAATGTGGAGAAAAGGGAAGCAGGCATTGGGTGCAGGTCTTCCAAGATACCTCCTAACAGGTTGACCCTGGAGCTGGATCCCATGGGTTACACAAGATTCACAGGCCTGTTTTTGGAAGGAGTGTGGATTTTCTTCTCTTTTTAAATCCATTTAAATAAGATTTTTTTTCATTTTCTTTTTAAAGAAAGCTCTACCAGTTGGTAGAAAGATGCTGCAGGGGGTTGGGAAGCTGCCTGCTGTTTACAATGAAGGACGGAGAGGGTTGGGCCAGCAGAGCTCAGATGTCCTATAGGATCCTTTGGGATGAGAATATCAAAGTGGGACTAGTCCACCGTGCCTCTTTCCCTTTTGTGAGGAAGGTCTCAAACAGTGCAAAGCCCTGGAATAGGGGCAGGGAAGGTCTTGGAATGCAAAGACCCCAGCTCTAGTGCAAAGATTGCAGGTTTGTAACTCCTGTCTTGCTGTAGACCTGCCAGGGGGAGGCAGGAGGGGAGGAGTAGGGGCACTCAGATACATTACTTCCCTCAGTTTTGCTTTGCTCATGATGGAAGAGCCTCATACAGTGCACATTCAGTGCAGCCTGCAGTCTGACCCCCATGTTTCATTCGTTTGAGCCAGGGCACATGGAAGATGAGTGTCTCGTTTTTTACTTGCGAATGCTTTGTTTCCCTTCTCTTCATGGTAGGCTGCTATGGCAACAGGGTGATGGTGCCTGACTGGCAGGCTGGAAACCTGATCTCTGGCCAAAGCTCTTGGTGTTACTTCTGAGAAGCTGATGGTGAGAGCTTTAGCCAAGAGGTGCAGGCTCTAGGATGAAAGTGATGGAGGGGATCATCTGATAATAAGCATCTTTCATAAAAGATTCTTTCCTCCCCTCAGGGAGAGGGGGTTTTACTCCATCCTTGCTGTCAAGTTAGTGTTATAAGAGCCCCTTCTCATCCTGGATCTTGGGTACCAGCATTAAAATAAGTATTCAAGCTACGTGCAGGGCTCTGTTCCAAGGGCCTTTGTGCTTGGGCAAGATAAGGTAGTGGCTTCTGGTCCCTATGTCCATGTTGCTGTATTCATCCCTTTGCCCTCGTTTACAGCCAGTAGTGGCCAAAGCCTTCCTCAGTGCCTGTAAAAGTGCAGTGCATTGCTGTCTCTAAGAACGCAGAGAGCATTTGCTCAGCAAATCCCCCGTGGCAGTCCCCTCAGGGTGGGTTAAGGAAACACCACTTTTCCTGTTCCCTCACAGCATATTTCCTGGGTAGAAAAGACCTGGTGTGATGCAGCGTTTTGTTCTCACTGAATAACAGTTCATCTTCTCTCCATTCAGCTTGGTCTACGCTTACCAAGAGACCAAGTTTTGAGCAACTTAAGGTTGGGGTGTTCCAGAAAGGTCAGAAACAAATGCCCAAGTTAGGGAGTAGAACTTGGTGTACCACCCGGATCAAGACTGAAATGTCTGAAATTACTGCTGTAGAGCATCCATTTCCCCTTCTCTTCAGCCTGGCTTGTTTGGCCTGCATTTGTCCATCCTCCTGGGAGCACAGCCATGTTTCTGCTGTTATGACAGCTAGGTTGTCTTGCTGTACTACCTGACCATTCTACCTGATTACAGACTGGGCAACTCCCTAAAGGAGAGCTGTGTACTACCGGTTAGAACTGAGGAGCCCTGTGGCCCTTCTGTATGGGGCCTGCACTTGGAAGAGTGGGGATGCTAGAAATCAGGAGTGAGGTGGATGATGGGTTGGTGAGTCAAGGTTGAGGTGTATAGACATAACTACAGGCTGGGAAGCCAGGTCTTGTGACATCACTAAAAGAATGTCAAATATGGCAGTATCTAAATCCTATTGGAACAGGGCGTATCTTTCTTGCCCTTAAACGTATTACAAGCTCAGGCCAGGTATCTACTATACTTGTTTGTGTTGTCACAACCAGGCCAAGTCACGCTGTGTCTCGATGTGGATAGCATAGAATAGATTTTTGTTCCAAATAATAAAACTCGTCTGAATTGAAGCAGTATTAGCTCTTGAAGCACTGCCCAGAAGTGCTTAACTAATTCTGAGTTGCATGTCCTTCACCCTCATTTGGATAGCTGTTCTTTACTCATCACTGCAGCCTGTCCTGCTAGGTCCTCTCTCCGCTCTGTTCTTACTGCTGTATGGAAACTACACTACAAACCCCACATACACTTATCTGCCACAAGTATTCCATTGTACACAAAAAAGAAACAGTTAATGATTGAGAAATAAGATCATGTGACTGGTCAAGCAGACAGTTATACTAATTTGGTGGGGATTGTGCCGTGTTTCAAGCTGATCTGTCTTAAACAGTTTGTGTGTATGCTTTACTCTGCAATAAGAAGCCACACAGTAGAAATATACTGTGTTTGGCAGCTCTTTCATTCCAGGGGAAGTTGACCTGGTTTAGCACACTGAAGGATAAAGCAGACACATGAAACAGTTGCAGTGGATCAGCTGATGAACATTTGTAAGCAGTGATTTCCCTCCTCCCTCCCCCACTACTCCTCTTCCCAATCTTTAAATTGGTCTGATTGTTTTCATTCAAAAGTTGCCATTTAGATGCTCCATCTGGCTTGTACTATGTTCTTGTAAATTACTGTATCAAGTATTAGATATTATGATGATGAAATGCTCTAGAAATACTGTAGGTGCAATTCACAGACAAATGTATATAATGTGGATTATAAGGAACAATTTCACTTCCCTGTATATACTGTTCTGCAGTTGTTTAAGGATCTACGTAATATCATGTGGGAGCCAGTGAAATTATCTACCAAGCTCAAGGCAGATTGAAGATGAAAAAAATCAGAAAATAGCCAATTTTCATAAATCAGTATATGGCCTCTCCTTAAGTGTGGCCCAGTCAGTCAACAAAAGCTCTTGAGAATGAGAAGCCTTGTGGAAAGTACGTTCATTAGTTAGACAGATTTAGAGTTGAGCTTTTTTATTAAGTGGAAAGAAGCAAAAGAGGCCTGCAGTAAAAACCTGGTTAGCAAAGAGTACGCCACGTGTTAATAATACTTTCCCATGAGCAGGGCAAGGGGATGCTGTGTGACATGAATGGGTCACCAAGACAGACTCGCTAAGCTAAGAAAGACTAAATGCTTTGTTCTATTCTACATTTAAGCTGTACAGCTTTCTTCCTGAATGATGGCACTGAGACTAGTAGTTTAAAAAATTTAATTAAGTGGATGTTTAAGGGAATGCATGGCAGGTAAGAGTTCTTCAAGATCTCATAATCATCATCCTTTAGAACAGGGGTGTCAACCATACAGCCCATGGGCCTGTGGAGCCTTATGATCTGGCCTGTGCGGCATAGCCCCAGCTGCACAAGACCTGGCACTGTGGGCATTGCATGTGGCAAGCATGGGGTGCATACAGGGCTGGTCCTAAATAAGCTCTGTGCACTGGCTTGGGCTGGTGTGGACTGGTTTGGGCTGTAGCCATTGCATAGGACCAGTCTGATCAGACACCACACACAGCATGCACTCTGTGCTGGCCTTTGCCATGTGTTCAGCACACACCAGTCCCACTTCAGGATTTGCACTGCGCACAGCACTTGAGCTGCATACAGTACAGGGGTTCCAGGGCATAAGCTGTATGTGGCACCCTGCCAGACCAGCCCTGCATGCTGGCTCTGGTGTGCATGGATGTGCTGGAGCCTAATTCAGACCGGCCCCAGAGCCAGCATGCAGGTCAGTCTACCAGGGCAGCACCTGAAGCCCATGCCATGGACCCCCAACACCACAGATGCTGCACATGGCACGGGGGCAGTCTGCATCTGGCCCCTAGACTGGCCCAGTGACCGTCTTCCAGTCCATGGGGGTGGATGAGTTTGACACCCCTGCTTTTGAGCATTCAGCAGCTGGGGGCCAGAAAGATTATTCTCTTTCACAATGTAGTGTGCAACTAAGTATATTAGAAGAAGCAGAACTACTTGAGGCTTCTCACATCACTGTTTTAATACAGTGTGTGCGCCAGAGGTTCACTGGTGATGCTCTTGCATTCCTACACTGGGGGAAGCACAGGGAGACTGGAAACAACCCAATAATTACACTCTTGCTCTTACTCTCCTTACTGCTGTAAGAGCAACTGTAATGAGACAGTTCACTATAACTCAGCCTGCCTTGCTAAGGTGGCAGAGGTCTCTGTGGCAACAGGCAAGAGAATTTCTGCAGTGAATCTTCTGCTATGGAAAATTAGGGTACACAAAATATTTACCATAACCTGTAATTCTGCTGTTGAGCAGAGAGAGAAAGTCAATACTGTCTGCAAGAAAGCAGCAGCCTGGCTACTAGACCCAAACCTAGGACTCCAGTGGAACTTATGCCTGGAGTCAGTCCTAATACTTTTTCTAAACCTCTGTAAAGAAAAGAACTAAAGAGCTATTGAGAGTGAAGGAAAGGAGGATGACTCTGTCTATATTCTTTGATGTTCACGTGACAAAATGTGTTTGAGACCATAGGATTTTGTCGTTGTTGCTGCCTCGGAGCCAGCACTAGCATGATGCCTCTAAGATTGAACGTAAATGACTAATATGGGGGATTTTTTTATGGTCGTGTGTATAGATTTTTTTACTACTGCCCCATTTTACATCCACTTCGTAGTGCAAGGGGAGGTGCAATTGTTTTGGCAGAAAAGCCATAAATTAGCCCTGCATTCTCCCTGTGTGCCACTCTGTTCCCCTTCCTCTGCCTGATCTCCTGCTCTGCTTTTTTCCAGTGCTGCCTGTCTCCTCCCCGATCTGTTGTGTGCTGCACCAAGGCTGCCCATGGCATTTGTCCTATAGGTTAACTGCGCCTGTCCTAGTCTATGCCTTTCTGAAACCGGAAGGAAGTGCCTCCATATACCAAGAAGGGCTAGACCCTGCCTGTGCTATCTATGTATGTAGCCTATGTAGGCTTAAAGGAAAAGGCCTTACTTTAACAGGAGCTGAATTCTTGTTAGCAAGAACATTCCTCAGTGTGAATTTTGGACTTAAAACGCAGCCTGTCCTAATAAAAAGGTGGCCTTGGAATAGATAGGGCCTCTGACACCAGCCCAACTGGCAACTTTGAAGACTTTTTCAGATGAATGTGCTAGCAAGTATGGAACAAAAGATTCCTTCTAAAGGGGGTAACTACCCTGGTTTAAGCACACTGAGCTGCTAAGCAGTGTGAGAGCACACCTTCACCAGAAGCTGCAGTACTTGAGTCTTGTCAGACCCTGACAAGCCCCAGCTAGAGAAGGTGTGATATTGTGTTAAAGTGATTATTTTATTCTTATGCCACTGTGCATATATAGCACATCTTGGTAGTGTACTCTGTTCCCACAGCTAGAGTAAGTGATCCCACAGCCTTGGCTGGGTTGTTGTTTGTATTGAGCAGAAAAAAGGAGCAGTAAGTTGTTTGCACAGTAGCTGTAGTCCTGTTACCAGATCTGTGTTGTGAAGAATGTTGGCTTAGTCTTTCAGTTGAAAACCTTGACCAGATTCCCGTCTAAATAATCACTGGTTCACGTGTCGTGTAAATCTAGTCACAACTGTTTTTAAATCAAAGAAACTATACTGAAGAATCCTCTGCTACCAGGAGGCAAAAGCTTGGACTAGAGGGAAGCAGTCAGTTTACTATTTCTAGTGGCTGGAAGCTCCAAGGGCACTGGCTTTTGCTCCTGATTTGGGCCAGTTACTTTAGCAAGTTGCTTCTTATGATTGAAGTATTCAGAGCAGCCTGGTGTCCAGGGAATAGATGCAAACAAGGCAGGGTCTATACCCTGTCTGTTTGTTGTGCAAGTCTGCTTGGCTGAAATAGCACCATGTGCTCTACTAGTTTTGCACTATTGTCCTGTTTGATATATAGAACTTGAACAGGGGAAGCCTGTTGCCCAACCCAAGAAAGCTGCTGCTGCTCTTGCTTCAGCACAGCTGGAACCAAGTGAGATGCTGACAACCCCTGTACAGGCAAGATGAACTTCTGCGGGAGTTTAAAAAGCTTGCCAGGCTCCTCAGCAGATGTTTACTCATATCAATGACCACTCTCCCTCTGGGGGGGTGCCCCTGGCCTTGTCTGCTCAGGAGCAATCCAGCTTAGGCCAGGATGGCAACTGAATCCCCTGTAACCTCTGCAGAGCAGAGTCCCCCCCACCCCCTCCCCAGGCCCTTCCCCCAGCCTCCAGGCCAGGGCTGATATGGTGCTAGTGGGACCTGTGTGGTCCCTTCCTTATGCATCAGTATTCTCTTCTAGCATCTGTCCAGTACTCCAGAATCATTTACCTCTTATCACTGGAGCAGCGCAGAACTAACCAAGATTACTTTCTTCATGGACTTAACAAGTGTGTCTTTTGTAACAAGTAGCAATTCCATGTACCTGTGCAGGCAACACAGAACCAGTATTTAGATTTAGTTCTTACTGCACCTCTGTAGCCCTCATGTTTATTTCTTCTTCCCACTTTTTTTTCATACTAGAAAATAAAATTCACCTCTGCACACGCAACTTGTGTAGAGAAAATAAAGGTCGCCTCCATCTTCATTATGTCTAGTAAGAATTAGAAAACAGATGGTTAAATTACTCCTTGTCTGCTGAAAATAGGGTTATATCACTTCTCCTGGGGCCAGATGTGTGGTTTTGAAATCCAGCCAAAGGACTAAATGCAGATGGGCTACTACATACGTGCTGTTGCAGGAAAGAGGAAAAAAAGATCCCCTGGGGCAAGAATCTCTGCCTTATGAGCTTACAGGTAAGACTTTGCTAGCTGCAGTCCCAGTAGTAGAGCAGGTACAGGACACATGGCTTCCTGGCACCACAGCAGAGGAACAGACTTCATAATGTTGACTATCAAGCTGAAGCAAGGTGGTGTGTTGGGCCCGCAGCAACTGCAGCTTGGGAGCAAAGGCCTCTCACCCTCTGATATCTAACTGATGATCCAGCCTTCTGTCCTTGCAAGAACAGCAGATGCTGACCTAACTTAAGCTTTTAAACAACAGTCCAGGGGCCTTCTCAGATAACACATCCCCCTGAGGCCAGCCAGCAGTTCTTAAATCCAATAGCATTAATGAAAACAGGAAGCTGCAAAACTTTATTCCTTCCCATGAGGGAGGATCCAACTTTATTTAGTATGAGGTCTTTCAGATGGAGCATATCCCTCAGAGCTGTAGAAGAGCAGCATGTGAGCAAAGACATACAGGCAAAGCTTACAGCTGATGTAGAAGTAAGAGAGGTAGGATTAGGGTAGGTACTCCTGCCTGCCCAGAAGATAACATGCAACAGTACCTCTAAATTGAAGTAATCTGTGAATAATTCATGCAGCAATTCGTAAGTACCAAGCCCCCTGTCAGCTCATGTTTCTGCCCCTTGTCTCCAAAGTAGCTATCCCTTAGATCTGCAAGGTTTGTAAGCCAGGCCCTTGCTTCCCACCCCAGTAGGTCTAAATTCGAGGTAGATGATAAAATGTTCAAAATTATATTGGAGGTGGTTGTACATTCCATGAAGCTGCTGTTCCACTTTACACGCTAGAACAATGCCCATTCCTCCACCAGGACCTGCCATCTTTTGAGCAGTTGAAGGTTAGTGTTTAAATATCACTACAGCAAACATGTGAATATAGGTCAGACTGAGTGCTAGATGGGAGCAAGGCATCAGTTTGCCCAAGGCTGTACAGCTGGGCTTTGACTGCAAATTTCCAGCCCCTCTAAGACTCCTCAGCAGCTGATACTCTCTTAGACCACCTGCTGCCATTACTAATTTCTGCAGTTCTAGGTTTTCACTCAGTATCAGGCCATAATACTTGCCTTTTCTGTAAGAGTCTGTATAAGCTGCTCTACCTGCCAGAAAAACGAACTCAACCAAGGGTAATAAAATCAAGGCCAAAAAAGCCCCCCAAAATCACCACCAACTTCTCACAAATCAGTAGTTGCAAGACTTCATCCCCTCTATCTTACCTGCTGTACTTTACGGGCCAAGTGAACCCCACTCACAGGAAGTGGACTTCAGAGTTACCTGACATATTTTATACCCAATACCCTGACAGCTCAAGCAGAGTACATTAACCCAGAGACTACAGGTGAACTCAAACCCTTTAATAACTTCCTATATCCAGCTGCTGAAGAAACAAACATCAGTACCCTGGATGTAATAACCATGTCAATAGTTCTGAGAGCAGCTGGCAGCATGTATGCCTTAGAAGAAAAGGGGTGAGGAACAGGAGAACCTGGCCAAAAGCTGGAATTCTGTTAATTGTTCCCAATTGTCTACCCTTTTTTATTTATGCTATCTCCCAAAAACTGGCTTAGGAAAATATACTACTTATCAAGAAGCAAAGAGATCAGAATTTCCAAGTAGGCAAAAGAGTCCAGCCCTTACTATCCCCAGTTGGCTCTGTTCAGAGTACTCTACAAGTTGCCATCCATCTAAACTTTTACCTAACAAAAACAGACTCAAACATGAATGTGCCTCCTTGCCTGCAAGTTTCCTGCAGCTGGATTAGTTGATAATATAATGCGGTCACATGGTGCCTTAAGAGAAGGCTCTATTTTCCTACAGCGCACTGTGCTTGGATCCTGCTCTGATCCATTCTCACTTCCCTAATACAAAAGGTATTCCTGCAGTTCTACTCCCTCCTGGAAGGATGTTTCCAGGTCCCTTCACAATCCATCAGAGAAGTACTGCAAACACTATTGCCTGGTTAAGCATTTCAGTCATTTGTGGTAGAGGTAAGACTACGTATGGAAACTTAAGAACCTTATTAAAAATGGTAATTTTGGGCAGCTCCTGGAGCTCTTAACACCTGGGTTGTCCGCACATTAAACACCTGAAATTAGTTTTAAGCACTCATTAGATGGCTCAAAGTTACCCAGGGCAGGATTCTCTCTGATCCCTGTTAGCCCAGCTAATGTTACACTAAGCTTTAGCCACTTTAGGCTACACTTTAGTAGTGTAAACACCCCACCTGCCCCCGTGCCAGCCTAGATTGGACCCACTGTCCCCCTTCCCCAGTTCCCTGCTCACTGCCCACCACTTTCTTGTGGCTGCCCACACTGTTCATCCTGGGAACAACCAGGGAAAGATTAACCTGCCTAGCCACCTGCTGCTGCTGCTGCTCAGCCCAGAGAAGAGAAGCAGCCCACAGGGGCTGAACAGGCTGCTTAACCCTTCCCTGTCTGCTCCCCAGGACAGCCAGCCAGGCAACCACAAGCAAGTTGTGGGGGGAACCCCAGGGGTGGCAGGGGAGAAAGGGAACTGGACAGCCCATAGTAGAGAGGGGGAAATCTTACATTTCACTCCTCCAGGCCTGAAGTGCAACTGAACCAAACTTGAGCTAGTACTAACACTGATCAACATTTCCACAGCTCACAGTGTAATGTGCAATAAGGACCTAACTTTGCCTCCTGGTGCAAGTTACTTGTTATCTCAGTCTTTAATTACACCATCACATGGAATTCTTCTTATAGTACTACAACATACTACTCACTCTCTGCATCTAATATATATGTTTTATCATCTAGATCTAGCTACTCACATATAAATCACCAGGATCTAGGAGTGTTTCATATACGTAAAGAAACTTACCACTCCATAGAAAAAAATGCCAGCTAATATTTTAGAAATAGTATAGAATTAAAGACTGCAGCGATCTGTATACACATAATGAATTGAAGCAACATATGCAATCTCACACTTGCCCTTCTGACTTGAGGTGTAGCCATGGGACCTTATCTTTTTTTTAAAGTCTGAGCATTTTAAATTGTTGGTCAGATTCTTATGTCAAATCTATTGGTTAAAAATTGATTCCTGAATTTTGCTGACTCAAAATCAAAAGTAACTGAATCTCAATAATAGGATCTGAGCCAGCATCTTTGAAGTAAATACTCTGCAACCTTTACTTAAGCAGTGGCTACCAACACCAGTTGAGTTCAAATACTTTGCACTTTGTCACACGACTCTGAGCACTTTGAATTTTGGAGGGTTTCACCTAATTCCCACAACTTCATCCTATTGAACATGTTCAGCCTGTGACCATTTTAGTACAAACTAAACTTTTTAGATTCAGGTAGGCCTTAGAGGCAGTCTGGTATAGGAATGGGTGTTCCCAGGCAGGTTACATGGATTGGGTTTAGATTTGTAAATAAGCACACCAGTCACAAAAGTAAAAATAAAAACTACTGCAGCAATTAATAAAACCATCAGAATTATGTGCATGTTCCAGTAGCTAACAGTTCTCTGCTCAATCCCCAATCATCATCCCAAAAATATCCATGTTAGTTGGGCCAGGAGGTACTACAGAAAGCAAGAGAGGGCAAATGCAAACCTAGTCACCAAATTACTTTTCAGAAAGACCACACACACTCTGAGGGACAAGTTTCCTACTCACCAACTTCCCACAGCAGGGATAGAAATGCAGCCACTCATACACTGGCAAGCAGAAATCACCCCATAAGTATGTGATGAAAGGTGGAGACAGTATACAAGCACAGTTCTCCCCTAGCACAGAATGAGGAAAAGATTAGGGTTCACTAAACAGAGGCTGCTGATACAGTCTGGAAGTTGGCCAGTGACTCTAGAAACTAGCAGTAGTTCAGTGGGTTTCCTTGGTTACATGATGGGTGAGGGAAGGGGTTCCCAGACTGAGCTTGCACAGAAAGCCATTTCACAAACAGGTCACTGCTAGGATTTTCGGGCTGTGCAGGAGAAAACAACATCAAAGGCCAAGACTCTTGATGCCCGGTTTGATACAAATGGGCCCAAGCTGATAACTTGTCAGCCAAGCACTCTCTCCCTCTTCATTGCCACCACCCTCACACAGCTCATAGCACAAAACCTGACCCTCTTCCACACCTCTGGCTAACAGAACCTCAGGGTGTAATTGGGCCCCCAGAAGGAGGGGGCTGTGCCCTCAGGAGCCCCAGCAGCTGCACTGACTATGCAATGTTCTGACATTCTAAAATTTTATTTTTCAAACAAGAGTAAGAAAGTAACATTTAAAACAATGAACCCTCCCAAACTTACTTTTCAAATATTCTAGACAAAAGTTTAGTTATTTCAAGCTTCCCACAACCTACCCGAGAAAGTTGGCTGAGGTGAGATCAGCCTTTTCAACTGCAAAATATTTTTTTAAGAGGAGGGAACTCTTTGAGACCAATATTTCTCACACCACACTAATGAAAAAGCTGAGCCCCAGAAGTCGAGCCAGGTTGGGACATCTGCCCCACTGGGAGGGGGAGAGGGTGGGTGGGTAAGAAGGCAGTTCCAACACCTAACAGAAGTAACAAGCTATTAATGATTAGTAATTATATCAACAAACATGCTAGCTACAATGGATCCAACTATTGAAACTTTGGCTCCAAAAAACACAGGCCTCCACATCAATGTTAGAGGAGTAGCTTTATCAGCTCACCTACCTAGGGAAGGGCAAGTTCCAGAAAAAGGCAATGATGTTGTATGACACTGTCTGGGCCAGGAGGTAGGCCAAAGGGAACAGCTGGGGTTTGGGGAGGACTA